CTAAATTAGGAACGGCTAGCGCAGATAGGCCTCGTGTAGCTTTGCGCGAAAATTGAAACAAACAAACAAAACTTCACTGCTAAATTAAGGACGGCTAGCACAGATAGACCACTGGTAGACTTGCGCGAAATTCAAATCATAAATTATAATAAAGTTTTCTTTGTTACCCATTCTTGTTGTCTCCAAACTTTGCTAGTCTAAAAGTGGTTTACTCATCATAGAATTTGAACATAAGAAGCTATTATTCCTCAATACCTTTTAAGCTTGTTATTAGCTGCGTCATAGCGGCTCATTCAATTGCTCTGAGTTTGTTTTTAAATGTACAAACTTTTAGCTCATAGCTCCATCTAATTACAGTCTTGGATTCAGGAGGCCAAACCCTTTCGATTGATGTATTTGACCATGCCCAAGGTCTCATAGATTAATTTACCCTAATCCTGCCTAAAATAATTTCAATTTGAAGGTAAGCTGCTGAAGATCGTGATGAGTAATAAAAAAAAGTTTCCTAGATTAATTTACTCTAATCCTGCTTAAAAGAAATTCAGGTGCCGCGGCTATTGGTGATCCCCTCTTGTTTTTTACTGTTTACCTTTGATAATTCAGCAAGAAGAAGATTTCTAGAACGAGTCGAAAGGTCACCAAAAATGAGCAGCAGCTAAGGGTTCAAGAAAAGCTTCTAATTGTAATTTTCGGGCTGTCTTTAATACTCCAAAAATAAATATATATATATATAATACGTTGCTCTTCCGCTTCGCTTCAAAATTTAATATATATATATATGTGTTTATTCCTTTTTATTGCAAAAGTACTTAGCTTAAATATATTTCTTTTAAAATTGACATATGTGCATAAAAATAACTCTAGATGCAGACAAATGGTCAACTGAAAATGAAAAGCAAGCTAAGGTTTCGTGAGAATTTCGTAACTTATTCTCTGAAGCAGTATTGAAACCAACAAAGCGCTGTTCTCCCTTTTCTCCTCAAAATATAAGCTTATTCCCTATAGCTTGCTTACAATGGTTTCATTTAGGTTTGATATTTATGCACGAAGTTAACTATACTGCGTAGAAAGCTCAGCTGAGGATGAATGATTTCTGAAAGATCTTGTACTTAAGAACTCGTGATAGTCTAATGAGTCGATAGCTTAGCTAGGCATGAGTAGCAGTTGAAAATTCTTCGAAATTCTTTGAACCTGCAAAATTCATCCGATTCTCTTGCTAGAAGTCGGTTTTGACCAACAAAATTATATTCTTCCATTTTCTCAAAATTGTAAGCTTGTTCATCTTCTTTTTTTACTGTCATTGATTTTGATGTATTTAATTTTCGTTTAGATTTTATTTTATATTTGTATATGAAGACGTCTTAAGAATGAATTGGAAGAGCAGTTAAATATTTCGTATCAGGCTTGTAATTGCACCTTTTAAACCAGGTATAAAATGAGCAAAATTCGAGTATTCCGCAAATTCTATACTTGTTTATTGGGAACTAATTATCTTAGAGGTTTTGACAATGAATTTAGAAAAAAACAACATCAAAAAACAACCCTTGTTCTCCAGATCACAAATAAACATTTTTATTTCAACCTACGTTTTACTATTGCGGCTTCATCAGGGCTAGTATAAGAACGGATGCAGCTGCAAATGCGAAATGTGGGTTGAAAAAAATTATAGCCTGGAGAGAACGGGTTGCTTTTTTTTTAACTCTTTTGTCAAAATGTCTAAATCCTTCCACTATGCGCTTTAATTCTGAAAAATAACAAAATATTTTTTTCGGACTAGATATTTATGAATGAATATAACTAGAATGAGTTGAAGTTCATTACTTGCAACTGTGATGCCTGCATTGAACATAATTTTCGATTCTCCCAATGATACGTTTGTTTATTTTTTGAATGAATATTTTTAGCCTACTCAACTGTCTTTTAGATATACGTACATTAAGATGACTAGAGACAGAATGAAAAGATGAGATGAGGGTTATTAGCAGATTTATGAGAGCCTTCTAATGTAATTTTTAAGTCTCACTTTGCGCTAATAAAACACAACTCTTCCCCTTTTCCTGAAATTGTAATCTTATTAATTTGTTATTGTGAATGCACATAGTTTTCTTTTACATTTGATGTATGTGGATGCACATGACTCTAGAAGGAGTAGGAAGCTCAGTGAAGGATTCGGGAGAGACTTGTAATTGGACCGTTGAAGCAGGCTCTAACTTAACAAAAATCGATTCTTTCCGTTCTTCTCTTTTCGCTGTGAATGAGCTTAGTATACATGATTTTTCTTCAGATTTATTTTATATTCGTACATGAATATATATGAAGGATGAGTAGGATTATCAGTTGAGGAGGAGTAGCATTTAAAGATTCGTTCAACCCTACGATTGGCTTTCAACTAACATATTCGTTTTTTCTGATCCTCTGATTTTAAGCCTGTTTTCTTTTTATTATTCGTGTGTGTAGATTACTCCAGTTTCTTTTAGCTTTAATATTTATGCCTAAATATGACTTTAAATTGAATTCAAAGCTCAGCTGTTGATGATCAACAGTTAAGGATTCCTGATAGTTTTTAGTTTTGTATTTGGTTTAAACCATATAGTTTTCTTTCTCCCACTTCTCATATTCTAAGTTCCTTAACTTTTTCGGTGAATATCTTAGATTACCATGTTTGGGCATGTTACTCCAGAGTAAGTTTAAGGCTGAGGTAAGCAGCAGTTATAGGTTTGTAACAGTCTTGTAACTGAAAATATAGGGTTCGCTCTGAACCAATAATTTCTGTTGGTTTGAGAACTTTAATAGACTGAAGCTGCCTGTTTAGTGAAAAAGACGACGTTTTATCGAACTTAGCATAGAAGCCGAAACGTTGTCTTTTTCATTCAAAAGACGACAACCACAGTCCAATAAGGTTCTCAAATATGCTATGCTTACTCTGCCTAAAGATCCACTTAAACAACAGATTTGGTTAGTACGCTTGTCCTGAAATCATAAGCATGCCACTTGTTTACTTTGAATAAGGTTTGCTTGCTGAACTCTCATTCATATTTGATATTTGTGAACGAAGACAACTCTAGAATAAGACAAAATCTCAGCTGAGGATTGGCAGCAATATAGGTTTCGTTAGTCTTGAATTGCATGTTTGATGTCAGGTTGAAAACAACAAAATACAGCTATTTTCAAATAGCAAGTGTGTTAACTATTTACTAAGAACGTGCTTAGATCACTTAGGTTATCTTAGATTTAATTTTTTTGATATTTGAATGAGTAAAAGTTTATATAGATCTTTATCGCTGTTCGCTGTTAATTACTACAAATATATCTAAATCATAAAATAAATAACACTTTACAAATGATGTTTCGAAATATCTGAGCAGCCGATTTAACGCCGAGGAGTTAACTTAGTGTATAAAGTGTCATACTTGACATTCACATAAAAATATTACCCGGAGAAATTCATACTGACTCAGCTTTATCACAAATCTAATATGCAGTGAAGCGGAGTCCAAGCAATTGAGAAATACTGTAGAAAAATAAAATAACTCTTAATAATCTTAAAAGAAAGTGTGAGAAATATTTATTCAGACCTTGGACACTTAAAAAATCTAAAGGTACATTTAAATTAAAAAAATGAGATGTGAGACATAAGTTATAAAATAATCAAGTAATAAGATTGATAATATTTAACGAAGAGTTTCATCTCATGAAAATCTCTTAAAATGTAATATCTAGTGTTAACTCACTAGAGTTGAACTGGCTAGATTAGTTCGTCAAATTAATATATAGTGTTGCTGCTTTCCTTCCCTTGTCGTTTTAGTGCTGATATTGCATCTTTCTAACTTTTTCACTGCCATAGGGACGTACATGTACCCATCGTTCAAGGGAGTTTGGAATTTTGTACTTCCAAAATGAAAGGGTATTTCCCATCAGACTTTCCAAAGTTTACCAGTTTAAACTTTTTGATAAATAATTAACTATTAGAATATATGTCTTGTTTTTCTGTATTTAAAGATATCTGGCACTGGGAGAGTTATTTGTTTATATACTTGACAATGATAGAGTTAATACATTCATTTATAACGTGTTATATATTTTCTAATACAATCGCAGACATCAAATCTTCTCCAAAGATCAACTATCAGTTTTAGAACATTGTTTTTTATTACCGTTGCAAAGTATTATTTTATGTAATCCATTTTCACCAGGAGACTAATATTCTCGTATCCATTACCATGCTTTGATGTGTGCACACTGAAATGGTAATGAAAGTGAAGATGAATATTGTTATTTCATTAATTCAGTTATTTCTTAGTAAAAACATTTAATTCACACTCAACTTATAACAATTTTCTGCTAAATTTACTCAATGTGCAAACAATAATTTTAAACATTTTTTTGTCAAATTTACCTAATGTGTGGGGAACATTTCATAATATGCTGTAAATTTACTCAAAATGTGGCGAACAAAATTCTTGTCAAATCTATTGAATGTGTGACGAACAGTAATAATCACTTCGTATCAAACGTAATGTTTGGTAGAAAGTATTAATAATTTACTGTTACTTTTATTTAATGTACAATAAATATAGAGGTTGAGTAGGTTAAATTGAAACGATTTTGGAGTTTCATCACGTCGTAAAGGTACCTGTCGACAAATCCTGTGATTTATTGTCTGTCGGCTATAAATCTATACGAAAGCCTTGCAGCTTACTTCCTCTTGGAAAAGGCTTTGTCATAAAGTTATCATGTCCAAAGAACACAACTCCTTCATTCACGCTTTTCATAATCCATTTGGTGTACCAGGACAACGGTTTCCCAGGACTCGTTTCAAATGTCCGATAGCACAGAAATCTGTAGGTGCTATGTATGTAATAGCATGAATACTCCTTTCATTCTTCAACTACTTGAATTATACGACGGTTGAACGGATATCTCGTGGAAGAAACTTTTGTACATTTGACCTGCGCTGCTTTTCTACATGGAGATTCTTCTTGATCATTTTGTATACTGTTATCTGGGAAACATGGACGACTTTTGCCAATGATATTTGGATTCGCGGATTCTAACCTGTTAAAAGTCGTCACAATGTGCTTACCACAGCTGGAGTACGATTTGTTGTAGGTCTCTTTCTGGGTGGTTCTGGTGCACAAGATGATCCATATTTCTTTTTTTTTTGCCATTTCCATTCAGTATAACAACCTACGAAACGCCAAACGATATCAAAATGTAGTTCTTATACATGACGCCCCATTGCAACGTTATATCGACTGCGGTTTTTACGTGATTTGCTGATTTGCATATTAAAAGTCATTTTAATATGATGTACTCAACCTTATGTACTCTTATAATTTTCCTGCGATCTTTAGTTTCAATCATTTACTGTAAAACTTACTTATTTTCGTATGAACAGTTTAGGTTATTTTCTATAAAAATAATTTAACTTGCAAATAGTTTAGACCATTTCTATCAAATGCAGAATTAAACGATTGTCAGTTTTAACATTCCTTTCTTATACTTAAAGTACAACGTAAACTTTTGGTTATTTCCTGTCAAATTTGCTTAATGCAGTGTTGACAGTTTTAGTTTTTTGTGTGTCAGATTTCACAAAGAGACGATGGGCAATTTGAAATAACTTTCCTCCAAGTAAACATCAACGGGCAGTTTCAGTAAGTTTCTGTCAGTTTTACTTAACCTGAAGGAGAGGCAATATCAGTAATTACCTGTTAAATGTTTATCATATGTGATGGACAGTCTTCACTTTTTTCCCTCAATTTTTTTTATGATCGATGAATTTAACTAACATCTGGTAAACAGCTTTCTATGAAAAATCACGAACACTCACTGTTCAGATCGTCAAAAGTTTTGCAAAGGAATATCTCTTAGTTGTGTGGTGTTGAATAGCAAGAAAATAAACACCAGCAACAACAATGATAATAATAATTATCAGACGCTTTTTATTGAATAAGATTGCGATTAACACATTACTCATTAAATTAATACTATGTAACAGCAACAATAGCAACAGCAAAAATCTAGTAGTGTTTATTATACAATTAATATCGACACTCACTTTGGCAGACTGAAAACGACACTGACAATAGAGATTATTTATTGTGTAAGAGTACTACAACCACATACTTTTGACTGACTAAAAACAATATTGACAATAGGGATTCTTTATTGTGTAAGAATACTACAACCACATACTTTTGGCTGACAAAAAAAAACAACACTGACAATAAGGACTCTTTATTGTGTAAGAGAACTACAACCATATACTTTTGGCTGACTAAAAACACTGACAACAAGGATTCTTTATTGTGTAAGAGAACTACAACCATATACTTTTGGCTGACTAAAAACACTGACAACAAGGATTCTTTATTGTGTAAGAGTACTACAACCACAAACTTTTGCTAGAAAGTAAAACTAACAGTAATGAAAACTAGGTTTAAAGGAACAGTTTTTAATCTATCAATTTTAACTTATTAAGTATTAAACTGCTAAAGTACGATGATGTTTTAACATTATATGTTATTATTACCTTTTATGTCGTACATATTTAATTGCCATATGTTGTTATTAGTTGTTATTATTTAGCGGAATGAAAATGAAAAATAAAAAACTTACTTTATGAATAACATTGAGGTTTACATGATTTCGTGAGAGCGAAGTTACTGAAATAATTTGTTGTTTTGTATTATATGAATGAATAGTGTGTGTCAATTGCACTAAGGAAAAAGTTAAAACTTGTACATAAACTTGACAAATAAAAGTACACGAAATTTGCATTGAACACAATTATGACTGAAAAACTTTCAACCTGAACGGAATTTTATAAGCATTTGGCAAAGTGCCAGGTCAAGGACTCCATATGATTTAGAAAGAATAACTCTGAATTTTGAACTACTGACCAGAAAGAAGGCAGCAGCATGAACCGACATAATGCTTGTGTTCGGCTTCCTGAACCTAATAACATGATTAATTGTCAATTTTATAAAGCGTCGAAGCTGAAAGTGTGGAGTGTGTTCAGAAACATCACGTCTCGAACCCTAGACCCTTCGACCCACAAACTGGTTGGCTAACGTATAGGCAACGCTCAACTGCACAGTAACATCGTAACAGTTATTAGTAAAACGTTAAATCTCTATTTTATAAGAAGTGTATCACATCCGAAATACAAGGAATTGAAACGACTTATAGATACACATTCAGTTCAGTTCTATTTAAACTGGTATCTTTTTCTTAGTGTTTTCTCTAGATAATCAAGACTAATGATAATTTAAGCCAGGATAACTTGTAAGTCTAATGATTTTGATGTTTTATATATTACTTATGTTTTGATTAAGCCTATTTTGTATTACATCAAAATTTTGTTTACTTCAGACTTTGCCAGATAATTATTATTTCCTTCTTTAGGACACAGTCATCACTTTATACATACACATTGGAATGAGATTTATGAAAATCAAACAGCAAAAGTCAAGGCCTTGTTCATTCCAGATGTCTTATCCGTGGATTTCCTAACAAAGATCGTACAAAATGTATATTGCATAGTTATTCCAGCTTTTCACGGCTTCCATATGTCGTCCCTTTGTTTTGTGTGTGAGCTTCCTATTCTGTCTCATCAGCTTTGGGGCACATGGCAAGATTGTTCTCCGCCAGACACTGACGAAGAGTCCGCTGATGAAGTGGACTTCCCATTACCTTTTACCGGAGGACTTGAAGAGCTTGTTGCTAGGGGAAACGTGTACCACGAAGAATGTTTGACGTGTGATACTTGCGGCGTGTCTTTAATGGGCTTCAACTTCTCTCAAGCTCGACGGTTTCACAATAGGATCTACTGTTTATTGCACTATGCCGATGTTGCTGGTCTTGCCAGAGGAGAGGAATTCATGCAGAAGCTCCGGCGATTTAAAAGCCAGAGCCTTGGCTGTGCTGAAGCAAGACGGAAAAGCTCCACAACTTTGATATTTCCAGTCCCTGCTCAAGCATGTCCAGGTAGTCCTTGCAGAGGTCATCCTCATTTTGTCAAAACCACTCCTGGCTACTGGGTAGAATGTAGCGGGGAAGATCTTACTGAACTAGAGGAATCTGTTCCAGCTTCCGAAGAAGGAGAGGAGGAGAAGTCTGAAGGAACCAAACCTAGAGGAAGCCAACAACAGAACACCGACTCTGCAGAGATGGAAACGTTTCAGTTGACTTCAATTGAAGAGGAAACGTTTGAGAAACATTTCTATGGAACAGAACACTGGAATTATTTCACCAACGATGAAGACTTGGGTCCAGTGATATTAAGTTTTAAGCAGGAGAGCATTAACAACAGGGACCAATTCAGGTGAGAGTATTCCTTTTATAATTATAGTTAATTATATCCACATACTTTATCCATCTTTTTATTCTGATCATTGCTAATATATAGTCTGCAGATTTAATGATCTTTATGCTAATTTGTTTGTTATTAAGCGCAAAGCTACACAATGAACTATATTTGTAAAGAAAAAAACTGCACACAATTATCATAGTTCAAAGGAACTATAAATGAATAATTAAAATTATCACCTTTAACAATTTTTCTTCACTTGCTGTAAGTAGACATTTTTAAAACAACTGGTATTACTAGTATATACATTACATTTAACTATTTTTCTTCTTGTTGTAGGTAGACATTTTTAAAATAACTGGTATTACTAGTATATACATTACATCTAACTATTTTTCTTCTTGTTGTTGGTAGACATTTTTAAAACAAATGATATTGCCAGTACATTACCATTGTTTCCCTTTCTTATAGTGTTATAATTACTAAGGTATTGATGGTTGGCTAGTTTAATTTACTAGAAAGGACGAGTAAACATGGTAAAACTGCAAGGAAGGAATCAGTTCAGACTATGTTTAGTACTGAATAAATCGGCATTAAGATAACTAATGCCTTCCGCTTACCTTGAAATTAACATACTTTGCGTTTACCCTCACCTAAACTTATTTCAACTAATTATTCATGTCTCTTACTAAGGCTAAAATATCGAATCCAGGACAACTAGACACTGGACATCTAGACACCTAAACAAATGACGAAGTAGGACATTTAGATACTACTTGTTTATTGTAAAATAAAACAATAATTACAATAAGTTTCTCCATTATATTTTATTCAAATTTTAAATCTACTCCATTATTTGACCTACACGTTTATTATATTACTAGGTTAATTTACACCATTATATGGCCTGCATGGTAACCGGACAACTAGACAATGTTTAAGTGTAATAATGTCCTACTTCCTCATTGTTTAGGTGTCTAATTGTTTGGTGTCTAGTTGTCCAGTTACCAAAATATCGTGTTTCTTTCTGAAATATTGAACAAAACATTACTATAAGTGTTTTCAGATATTTTTGGAGGTTCTGTTTCATGCGAATAAAATATGTCGAACAGTCAACAATAAGGAACTAAAGACGTGCCTTTAAAGTTAGATTATATCAAAACATTTATTTTGGAATAATATTTCTTAAAGTTTAGAAAATAAAATGAATTGTGGTTGTCATTGTTTCATTGAGTAAAAATCACGATCTTCGTTATCAATTACTGGCATGTAATATCTGAAACTTGACAAAATACCAGAAATTCTGTATATGTTTTTATTCCAATATTTACAACGAAATCATACAAAAATATTTCAAACAATTCTACATTTCTAAACAGGTCCATTTAGCGATCTAATAAGTTTTATTATTATTATTATTATTATTTTTCAATTTCATCATTTGATTCAACCAATAGAAAACATTACAAACACAGAAAGTTATATGTAACAAAAATAATACACGTTTTATCACATTGTTACTTATTTCATTAAAATCGTTGACCAATTCTCACTGTTGTCTTTATAGTCATTTCCCCCCTTTTTTAGCCGCGGCATAGCGGCTAATAGAATGGCTCTCAGTTTTTAAAGTACAAACATTTAGTTCATAGCTCCGCCATCTCTTGACCGATTTGAGATCTAATTACAGTTTTGATCTCAGGGGGTCAGCCCCTTTAATTGATGTATTTGACCACGCTTAAGGTCTCATAGATCTAAATCATGCCTAAAAGAATTTCTATTTGAGGGTAGGCTGGTAGAGATCCTAATGGATGAAAAATCGGATCGGGTATACGCACGCCCCACGCTTTGTATTGCTTGCGCACAAAAATATAGATAACAAAAACAAGAAAAAAAAACGTCTCGTAGATTAATTTACTCTAATTCTGCCGAAAAGAATTTCAAGTGCCGCAGCTATTGAAGATTCCCTCTTCTCTATATTGTTAATTTGTTGTAAATGCATGTATTGCTACAAACATTGTATGCATCAAAGACATCATATTACATTGCACCTTGATGAATTTATAACACTTAGGCTAAAATAAGCAAACATTTGTCAAAAAACGATCTTCACAATGTCTTATGACTAAAATTACGTAATTTAATAACTCAAGGGTGTGTTTGTTTTTTTTGAATATCGCGCAAAGCTACACGAGGGTCATTTGCGCTAGCCGTCCCTAATTTAGCAGTGTAAGACTAGAGGGAAGGCAGCTAGTCATCATCACACACCGCCAACTCTTGAGCTACTCTTTTATTAACGAATAGTAGGATTGACCGTCACATTATAACGCTCCCATAGCTGAAAGGGCGACCATATTTGGTGGGGCGGGGATTCGAACCCGCGACCCTCAGATTGGTTAAGGCACTCGACTCGCTATCTGAGGGTTGCGGGTTCGAATCCCCG